TACTGTACCCGCCTGTAACACTTCTGCTGGCAGCTCATTCCATATATGTACCACCTTCTGTGTAAACAAAAAAAAAAAAGTTGCCGGTCAGGTTCTGATGTATTCTTCCCCCTCTCACCTTAAATTGATGCTCTTTATCCTCGATTCCCCATCCCTGGGAAAAAGACTGAGTGCAGTCATCCTATCCATGCCTGTCATGATTTTATACACTTCTACGGATCCCCCCTCAGTTTCCTGTGCTCTTAAACAAAAAAAGTCCTAGCTTGTCTAACCTTTCCCTATAACTCAGTCCCTTGAGTCCTGGCAACATCCTTGTAAATTTCCTCGGCACTCTTTCCGGTTTAATAACCTCCTTCCCATAGCAAGGTGACTAAAACTGAACACAGTACTCCAAGTGTGGCCTCACCAACGTCCTGTACAACTGCAACATAACTTCCCAACTTGTATACTCAGTGCCCTGACTGATGAAGGCCAGTTTGCCAAAAGCCTTTTTCACTGCCCTGTCTACCTGTGACTCCACTTTCAGAGAATCGTGTACCTGAACTCCAAGGTCCCTCTGTTCCACTACACTCCTTAAGGTCCTACCATTCACCATGAAACTCCTACCTGGATTTGACTTTCCAAAATGCAACACCTCACATTTATCTCTATTAAGCTTGATTTGCCATTTCTCGGCCCACTTCCCCAGCTGATCAAGATCCTGCTGCAATTTCTGATAACTTTCCTCACTGTCCGCGATACCGCCTATTTTAGTGTCATCCGCAAACTTACAAATCATGCCTTGAACATTGTTATCTATATCAATGGGCCCGGCACTGACCCTTGAGGCACACCTCCAGTCTTCCGGGACCTCACCTGTGGCTAACAATGATACAAATATTTCAGCCAGGGCCCCCGCAATTTCTTCTCTAGCCTCTTGCAGGGCTCTTGGATATATCTGGTCAGGACCAGGTGATTTATCCACCTTCATACATTCTAATACTTCCAACATCTCCTCTACTGTGATATGGTCAATCCTGCAACATCCTCCTTACCAACATATGGGGGCTTGTACCAGAATTGGGAGTGCTGTCTCACAGACTCGTCAAGCAGAATTCTGTTACAGACATGTCCACGGGTTCATACCTTTACACATAATATCCCAGACAATGTCATTACCGTTCCTGGGTATGTCCCGCTCCACTGGAAGCGACGGTAGAACAGTAGTACACAGTCACGAGGAAGGAATTGACCTGGGAGTACTCCATATTGACTTCAGATCTCAGGAAGTTTCATGGCATCAAGTCAAACTTGGGCAAGGAAACCTCCTGCTGATTATCTCTTTCTCCCTGCCCTAGGTAGATGAATCCGTACCCCTCCATATTAAACAGCACTTGGAAAGGAGAAGGGTCACTGGACTCGAAACGTTAACTCTGTTTCCCTCCCCACAGATGCTGTCAGAGCTGCTGAGTTTCTCCAACACCTTCTGTTTCTGTGTGTTTTAAAATTAGCTCGTGACTTTCAGATGAGACAATGAAATGAGGCCTGTCTTTTCAGGCAGATGTAAAAGATTCTGTGGTCCCAGTTTGAAGAAGAACAGGGGAATTCTCCCTGGTGTCCTGGACCAATATTTATTCTTCAATTGTCTTTGCTAAAGTAGGTTATGTATTCATCATCAAATTGCTTTTTATGGGGGCTTGCTGTGTCTAAATTTGCTGCTATATTTCCAACATTACAATAGAGACTGTAATTCAAAAGTCCTTCATTGGCTGTTTAAAATAAAAGACTTCGGGAAGTCCGGATTTAGCAAGGTTAGGGATGTTCTCAGAGGTGGAAAATTGTTGGAAAAACTTAATAACCCAACTTCAGTGGATGATCCTGTAACTGCATCAACCACAGCTAACTCTCTGTCTGAGATTGCCCACGTAGTGCGGATTAGTATCAAATTGAGATGCGGCAGTAGGTCACCTGGTCACTAAACTGAAAATTCTAGGGATTTCTAAGCCTCCGTTTCCACCTAGTGCCAACTTAATTACACCAGCAGTGAGGGGAAACTTCCAGTCCTTACAGCTTACATTGCAATCGAACCCTAATATTTCCTACATTTATAAATAGTGACTTTTTTAAATTCATTCATGGGATGAGGGCATCACAGGCTAGGCAGCATTTATTGCCCATCCCTAATTGTCTAGAGGGCAGTGAAGTGCCAACCACATTGCTGTCTGGAGTCATATGTAGGCCAGAACAGGTAAGGATGGCAGTTTCCTTCCCTAAAGGACATTAGTGAGCCAGATGGGTTTTTCCGACAATCGACAACAGATTCATGGTCATCATTAGACCTTTAATTCCAGATATTTATTGAATTCAAATTCCACCATCTGCCCTGGCGGGATTCGAACCCGAGTCCCCAGAACATTATCTGGGTCTCTGGATTAACAGTCCAGTGATAATAGCACTAGGCTATCGCCTCCCCACCTAGAATTACACTTCACAAAGTACTGCATTGGCTGTAAATAACAATAACTGAAGGCAATTACCTTTATATGTAATTAAGGTCGCTGTAGTCCCAGAGGACCATGGGACTGCTGTCGCATTAGAGAGAGATCGTGAGAGAGAGAGATGAGTGGTATTGTGGTTTAACCTGAGGGTCACCGTTCCTCAGGCAAAGGGTGAGGTTGAGAAGGCAGGATCTTCACAGTAACCTTTATATGGCCCCTTTATCATAATAACATGTCCCAAAGAGCTGCACAGGAACAATTTATCAAAAATAAATTACCAAGCTCCAAAAGGAGCAATTAGGGCAGATCACCAAAAGTCTGGGAAACAGGACTAGGTTTTAAGAGCATTTGGAAGGAACAAAGCGAGAGGGAATCTTTGAGCTCAGTACCCAGGTGTGTGAAGGCATGGCCGCCAATGACAGAGCAAGTAAAATTAAAAGATATGGAAAACGCCAGAATTAGAGGAGCTTTGGAGCATGCTGTGTTTGTGAAAGCTGCTTAATAAATACTTGTCCTTTACCGCTGACGTGAGAAACAAATGTTTCAGTCAGCTGCTGCTCTGCCACCCCTGCCCCTACTGAGAGCTTAATTTGAAAGCCCTATTTAGGAAGCAGTCTCCAGATTGGTTAAAAAAAAATGTGCTGAGCATTTGGCTTTTTAATTATTATAGTGGTTTAACTCTTTATGCAACTCTAGTCTGCAACATAGCCATTAATTATTGAACAAAGCCACTGGATTGGGCCTGTAACCTGATCAAGTACTGGAACATATAGGGTTTGGTATTAATAGTTTAGGTTACTGTGTCAAAGGCAACCCCAGTGTAGTGAGTTCCACTGGATGAATTCACCCTTTCTCATGACCAACTTTATCATATAAAAACTCTCTCTGACTTTCTTTTGAAGTCAGACTTGACATTATTCAGTCAGTCTCGGGTGCGGGAAATGTCATTGTTTCCCATCTTGCTTGGCCACTTCAGAGGACTTTGAGTCAACTAAGAACTACAGGTTTGGAGTCAAACGTGGGCCAGACTGGGTAAGGATGTTAGATTCCCTTTTTGGGAGAACATCGATGCATCAATTGGGTTTTTACAATGAGCTTCAATGATGAATTTTTCCAATGCCAGCCCATAAAATACCAGATTTGTTGAATTTAATTCCATAGGTGATGTCTGGATTGTAACTGGGGCTTGCATCTCATCCAAGGAACTGCTGCATCCAAGAGGCTAATATCATTGGGATGTATTAAAAAAGGTTTTAAAACTTTCTAAATTTTCTTTAAGGTTTTCCTCTTATTAACAATGGAGAAAATGTTGGAGATTGGGAAGAGAAGGAGCTATTCACTGAAGTTGAGGTTCACCCAACCAAGTAGTCTGCTTGTTTCTCAATTGGCTGTGGGTTGATGGATGTCTCTGATGGTCAATGATGGTTAACGATGGGAGGTCATGTGATGAACTCCTCCGCATACGGCCAAGCAGAGTTGGCAATCCTGGTGGTTGATTCCATGCGCAGAGCAGAAGTGTTTCATGTCTCTTGCACCACCCCCACTCAAAAGGTCGCAGTGGACAACCACACAGGCCAAGGAATTGTTGCTTGGACTTCCTTACACTAAGTCAATGCGTTTCATTAAAAAAATACATTTTAAAAACAGTATTACTGATAGACTGTGACTTATTGCCTAGTTTTTGTGGTATTTGAAAGCTGTCGTCTCATAAGACCATAAGACATAGGAACAGAAGTCATCCATTCAGCTCACTGAATCTGCTCTGCCATTCAATGAGATCATTGCTGGTCTGATAATTCTCAACTCCACTTTCTCGCCTTTTCCCCATAACTCTTGATGCTCTTACTGATTAAAAAAATCATTATTTTTATTTATTCATGGGATGAGAGTGTCACTGACTATCCCCAATTGCCCAGTTTGGAGTCGCGTGTAGACCAGACCAAGTAAGGATGGCAGTTTCCTTCCCTAAAGGACAGGGAAAGGACATTAGTGAACCAGATGGGTTTTGCCCCAGAAATTGACAATGATCATCATTACACTCTTAATTCCAGATATTTATTGGATTCAGATTCCATGTCTGCTATGGCAGGATTTGAACCAGGTCCTCAGAACCTTGCCTAGGTCCCTGGGGATTAACAGTACAGCGATAATACCACTAGACCATCAACTCCCCTACTTCCGCCTTCACAGCCCTCTGTGGTCAAGAATGCCACAGATTCATTACCTTCTTATCTCTTCATGTGCAACTCCTTATAGTGAGATTATGCCCCTGGTCCTGGATGTTCCTGTAAGCGGAAACAGTCTTTTATTTACAAAGCCTGAGAACCAGGTCATTTTCCCCATGGTCAAATTGCTATAAGGACCGAGATAATGAGAATACCTCATCACATTGTATATTTATAATTAAATACTCACCAAGACAAAATTGACAGCTGAGTTTGTTTCTAAACAAAGGCAGTGATTGTTTATTGTCCAGCAGTGATTAATTGTTCTGAATCAAGGGACAGGATGTTTGTTTTTCAGAAACTATTGAAAATGACGAAAGAAAATGTGATGGATGTTGCTTCAGAGGAAGAGCACAAAGAGCCCCAGGAGCATCAGCCGGCAGAGTTCCAGAGCCCGGTTCTAGAGAGACGCAAAAAGCCTGTCATTCACCCGTCTGCCCCAGCACCACTGCCGAAGGATTATGGTAACTGCTTTGAGCTGTAATTGGCATTGAACCTGATGCTGAGCTCTCGGGTCCATGACCGCCCCGATCACGAAGGATCCCAATGTCTGACTCTGCAACACCATGCACTCTGATGTGGCCAAACAGCCACCAACAACCCTCTTAAAAAACACCTCAATCACCTTTTCCCTTGGTGACCTCTCATCTTCCAAATCTTGGTAAAGGACACTGACAAGACGTTACAAAGTCGTCACACTAGGAGAATAGCCATTTTCAGCCCACACACACAAATCCCTCCCATCTTACCTCATCATAACTCAACACAATGCCCTTTTACTTCAGAACTAGACCCAGGCGTCTGGATGTAGCAGAATGGAGGTGTCACAGCCAGGAGACATGTAGGTGATTCCCTTCACACTGCGCGGAGCTATCTGCTACGAGTACTCCATATTTCTGCTTTGGCAGAAGCTGTGACCATCAGATTTAAGATGAGCCAGAACCACTTCCATTTGACCCACACAATGTCCTGAATCCTCTGTAAGTTACTCCATAAACTATTCCCCCCGCCTGCTCAATTCAGCGGTAAAGACTGCAGTTCAGCCTCTCTTGCTCTAACTGTTCCTGAACTCTGCTTCAAATGCCCTATTCAGTCCAACCCTATTCCTGCTCAGTCACATCTCCAAACGTCATGAACTCTCATTCAGTACCAGTAACATGCATACCCAGATTTTTGTCCTCCCCACCTCCTAAGCAGGTTTTCTATAACTGACTCCTGGCTGATATCCTGATCTCAACCAGCTCCCAACTCATCCTGAACTCTACCAGTTACATCTGTTCCCCTGCCCAGTTACTGGAAATCTTCTCCTAAACCCTCCTGACTTGGCTGTGCCAAAGCTATTTTTTGGACTGTACTCTCAGTAACTCTCTCAGCAAGACTTAATGCTCAATTCTTGAGGCATTTCCCACATCAAAGATGCTAGACAACTATAAATCTTTAAGGGAAATGTGGTTATCTGGTACCTTGCCATCTGTAAGGGCTTCAGTTGATGTTGTAACTGGGATCTAGATCCCGATGGTGGCCCCTGAATCTTTGGGTGCTCACCTGTGCATGGCAACAGGTTAATATGACAGTGATTGGTTGAAAAATGTTTCTCTGCAGCCTTTACATTCTTCGATCCAAATGACCCGGCCTGTCAAGAAATCCTGTTTGACCCCCAGACCACCATCGCTGAGCTCTTTGCTATCATCAGACAGTGGGTCCCCCAGGTGCAGCATAGGATCGACGTCATTGGAAATGAGGTGAGTCACTGTGGATGTTCTTCTGGAAGCTGATTTTTATTTGAAACTTACGCACAATTGGAAACACTGTTTTGGAATATCTTAAGCCAAAAAGATTTAAAAACTGAGGAAATGCCTGACTTTAAAGGCAGTTTACTGTGTGATTTAATCTAATACAGTGACCAAAACATTTGGAATTACCTGCCAAGTCCACAACCAGTACCATCTAGAAGGACAAGGGCAGCAGAGACATGGGAACACTGCCCCCTGCAGGTTCCCCTCCAAGCCACTCACCATCCTGACTTGGAAATATGTCGGGTGTTCTTTCAGCGTCGCTGGGTCAAAATGCTGGAACTCTCATTAAGAATGCACCTACAGCACATGGACAACAGCGTTCACTATCATTTTCTCAAGGGCAGTTAGAGATGGACAATAACTACTGACCCAGCCAATGAAGCCCACATCCCATGAACTGCTGAAAACAAATTGCTTAATTTTAATTGAACAGATCAAGAATTGACGAGCTCAAGTAATTCATGTGATTAGCTCCAGACTGAACTCTTAATTCAGTCTGATATTGGGACATAAGAACATAAGAGCTAGGAGCAGGAGTAGGCCGTCTGGCCCTTCAAGCCTGCTCCGCCATTCAATAAGATCATGGCTGATCCTTTCGTGGACTCAGATCCACTTACCCACGTTCTCACTGTATCCCTTAATTCCTTTATTGTTTTAAAAAAATCTACCTTTTTTTTAAAAGCATTTACTGAAGTAGCGTCAACTACTTCACTGGGCAAGGAATTCCATAGATTAACAACCCTCTGGGTGAAGAAATTCCTTCTCAATTCAGTCCTAAATCTGCTCCCTCTAATCTTGAGGCTATGCCCTCTTGTCCTAGCTTCACCTGCCAGTGGAAACATCCTCTCTACTTCTATCTTATCTATTCCCTTCATAATTTTATATGTTTCTATAAGATCCCCCCTCAATCTTCTGAATTCCAATGAATATAATCCCAATCTGCTCAGTCTCTCCTCATAAGCCAATCCCCTCAACTCCGGAATCAACCTAGTGAATCTCCTTTGCACCCCCTCCAGTGCCAGTACATCCTTTCTCAAGTAATGAGACCAAAACTGCACACAGTACTACACAGTGTGGCCTCACCAGCACCTTGTACAGCTGCAACATAACCTCTCTGCTTTTTATTTCAATCCCTTTAGCAATGAAGGACAAAATTCCATTTGCCTTCCTAATTACTTGTTGTACGTGCAGACTTACCTTCTGTGATTCATGCACAAGGACACCCAGGTCCCTCTGCATAGCAGCATGCTGCAACTTTTTACTATTCAATGGTCTCTTGGGATCAAAAGCCTCAGGTTTAGATCTTTCATTAAAATTAGGGGAGACTGGCAATGCAATCTCTTTAATCATTTCTTAATGCCTCAGTGCTCAGGAAAGGAATAAGCAAATTTCATGAAGAGGACAGTAGCCTTTCAGTAATTAAACTGCTCTTCATGGCAGGGTAAGCACCAGGTCATTCCTTTGGGTGGTCTTTAGTGTGTTTTTAAACAACACCATGGGTGTGTGGGTGGCACAGTGACGTGTTTTTTGGATGTACGGGTTTGGTTTCCATGATGTACAGAGGTAATGTGAGGATCCTCACAGGAGGTAACCTTTCACCAGTTTTACTTCTCATTCAACTTGGTATTTGCTCCCGTTTAGGAATTGGCGAAAAAGTTTCACTTTTGATGAAACAGTTTGATGATGGTGTTGACTTTTGTGTGGTTGTACAAAGTGACATTGGCCTGTTACTACTCTGAATTTATTCTGTCCACTCGATCTGTGCAGTGGTTGTTCTCTATGTCAGCTTTCTCCTAGCTTGCTTCACATAAACCTGCCAGTGTCTGCGGTGTCCTGAGGGAATACACCCTGAGCAGGTTACCTATTAAGCTCGGCATGCCAGATACTGTCTGACCTCAGGCCTGTGGAAGCTTTGTCTTTTGAGATAGAGCTGTTTCTCAAGGGGTGATGTTGCTGAGATATTCAACACCGTGACCCAACATTCAGCAGGTCCAAAGGTTCAAATCTCGGTATGAGTTATTGTTAAACAAAACACCTGGAGAAGGGTTAAAGTAGACCTCAGGTTGATATACAAGCTCGTGAATTATGTAGGAAATATATATGGCATAGGTATAATGGGCTAGACTGTTCTAATTCTGTGAACACATGTTGTCATTGGCTATCACTCAGTAATGACTACGATTGCCCACGTCGGAAATTCCGTGTCACTGGTCCTGGGTTCAGTGGGGCCTTGTGTGGCTGATGAGCTTGATCCCAGAGGCCCAGCTCCAAACATACATTTGGCAGGTGCTTCTGGGAGATAGATTTGTGTGTATTGTTGAAGCTGTTGGCAATCCTTTCTCTTGTTCTTTTTCCATGCTAACTCCTGCTGAAGTGTGTTCTCCAAGAATTGTGCCCCTTTAATGATGGAGGTTCCTCCAGATCAGTTTCTCCTGAACAAGGGTCTCCCGTGCATTCACGTCTGTGTTGCATTTCTTGAGGGAAGCCTTCAAGACATTTTTGAAACACTTCCTTTGTCCTCCTCTCATTCAAGTGCCTTCCTTGAGCTGGGCAAAGAGGATTTGATTTGGCAGTCATCATTCCAAGCGTGTGGCTGGCCCAGCGGACTTGGTTTCAGATGATCATAGCCTTGATGCTGGTGCTATTGGCTGCTTCAAGGACACTGATGTTAGTACGCTTGTCCTCACGGCAGTTGTGGAGAATCAGTCTCGAACAACTTTGATGGTATTCTTAAGGGCCTTGAGTTGGTGTCTATACTTAGTCCAAGGACTTTCTCAACTGAACGTGTCTAATGGTGGTACCCGATGTGTTAGATGTAATGCTTGATGTATGACAGTGACCAGTGAAGCAAGAATCTGATCTCTTGTAGCACACAGATGGCAGATCTCAAACCAGCCACCTATCTAGATTTATAAGATGTTACTGTCCCCGATGATTTATTCCCACAAGAGTGGTGTTGCTTGCTGTAATATGAACCATTCAGTCAACAGACAGACCTGAGGCAGTAACTCCAGGGCACTGGAGAGATGCACTTTGCATTTGAATTTTTAATCTGCTACAGGATGACATTGAGAGTTTTATTAACCCACCTCAATATCCAGTCACCCCTGCTAACAAAAACCTTTTTCAAAGCCCATGTTTTTGCAAAAGCTTTCAGCTACGTCTCCTATAAACTGTCCCCAGTGACATGACATCTATTCCTTCACCCAACATTTTTTTTTATTTTCTTGCCTTCCAGGGGCCACCTGAGAACTTTTTTTCTCTTATTAAAAGTTTTGTCTAACTCAAAGTTGTTCACGTGTGTCTGATGTTTGAGCCTTGTCTCAAATCTCCAAACACCGAGGTGGGGGTCACAATGGGCAAAGGTTTGTGAGGCTTTGGTTTGTTGCCACTGTTGAATGTCCTTTTATTTGAAAAACTGCCTCGTGTGTTTTTCAGTATGGGCCTTTTTGGATGTGGTCCTGTCGTTTTCTGATATTGGCAGAATGATGACCAACTCCAGCTCAAGTGCAGCCAATTGATCCTAGTGGTTAACCAGCCTGAACGTCTCAATGGGGTAATTTGCCCAACATTTGGGTTTTGGTAGCTTCTCTGGGTCAGGGCATCAGAACCAATTGCAATCAGACCTCGACTGGACCTTAACAGTTTCACCAATTGGGATTATTGCATTTTTTGTTTTTAAACCTTTGATGGGATGCCAGTAGATTCTGAATGGTCATGTCGCTCGCAACATAAACCCTAGGCCAATGTTTTGAGGCTGTGAGTTTGAATTTCACCATGGCAGAAGGTGAAATTCGAATTCAGTATGATCTGTCACTTAAAAAAAATTGTTGTTGTCTCAGAGATAGTAGGAACTGCAGATGCTGGAGAATCTGAGATAACAAGGTGTCGAGCTGGATGAGCGCAGCAGGCCAAGCAGCATCAGAGGAACAGGAAGGCTGACGTTTTGGGCCTAGACCCTTCTTCAGAAATGGGGGAGGGGGAGGGGGTTCTGAAATAAAT